CCATGTCAAGGTATGTGGATTTTATTCGGGATGTAATTTGGGAATCACTGGAGCAAGAAGCTCATGTGATTTGATGATATGTGTTTTTAAAAGAACAGAAAAAATGTGGAGAGTGGAGTGGTTTGGAAGCAGGGAGACCATTTAGGAGGTTATTCCAAGGCCCACATGGCAATGAAGACTTAATGTAAAGTAATGGTGAGGAGCTTTAGAACCCCTCAGCCTGGGTTCAAGCCTAACTTACATCTGCTACCGGACCATTTGGGCAGGGTATGTACACCTTCTGTGCGTCAGTTGCTTCGTCATAAATAAGTGTGATAATAATGTCTACTTTGTAGGGTTTTTGAGAGAAGTCATTCTCTGAGAAGTGCTTCGCACAATCCCTGACACAGCGCTTTACAACTATTATCTAGTAGGAGGAAGTAGAATCCTCCTTTGACAGCGGGGACAGAGAAGGATCAAGTTTGAGAAATATGTAGACTTAGTGATCAACTCAGTGTGGCCAGGGTCACAGAGGGAATTGTAAAGGCTAGGGTTTCTATCTGGGGCAGTAGGGTAAGTGTTGTATGGACAGAAGAGCTAGGGATAGAGAGAGGATGAGTTTACAAGCAAGCATCGGGGCAAAAAAAGAAGAGATGTGAATGAGGTTTACAGATTTAATATGAAGTATATTTGTTAAATACACAGATAAGGCCTGAGGTGGTATAGGATCTCAGATAGAATTGGGAGTTGGAATCATGGGGTCGAATGTATTTCTTACATTAAATGCACAACTCAGGAAAACAAAGAGGTTGAAAATTTGAAATTTATTTATCTGGCACTCGAAGTTATAGTTAGATATTCTTATATGCTTGTATAGATTTCCAGTTTAAGAAGTACTGGGTTTTTGGCAACGGGTAAGCAGTGGAATAGAAAGACAAAAATAATTTATAAAGAAAAGAAACCCTAAGAGATAGGATCCTAACTCAGGACACTGACTTAGTTCCAGGGCAGATCTCTTGGGACCAAGGGCCAGAGAGAGGGTGTCCCCAATCCAAATGGAGCACTGATCATCCTTGCCCCCACCCCAGTTAACACTCATCTCTGACACTCCTAATCTGTAGGGTAGGAGTACAGGTCTCATGGAAACTACTTTTGAAGGTTCAGATTTGGATCAGCCATGTGCAAAGGGTGTAGGAAACAATACCTACCCTTTAGGAGACGGAGCTGGTATCAGCGCCCTAGAAATCAGGCAACTGGATTGCAAATCCAAGCACCATTGTAGAAGCACAGTCTCATAGAGGGTCAATGATGTTGAGGGAAAGATGCTGCTCAGTGGGCCTAGGGAACCCAATCTCTCACCTGGGATTCAGGGTTAGGATCAGAAGATCCCATCCTCCTGTGGGAATGGGGTTCCTGGTAAGGTTGGTCAGGGCAGACATGGGAAGTGGGTGGTATTCATCTTAAATTTTGAAACCTATAAAGCTGAGACAGAGATTCACATTTTAGCATTAAGTCTTCACTCTGGTCTCAAAGATTCACTAAGCTGATATTTACTTGGAATTTCTCGTCCTACCCTCTCCAGCTCTCCAGGTCCCTCCTTTGTGTAGAGTCCTGCTGCACCTGCGGGTGTGTTCTTGCCTATGCACATACACACAGAGAGACACACTCACATGGGGTTACGCTCCATTTTTGTCTTTTAGGAGGTTCACAAGTAATGTGCATGGTGAGCACCCCCAGACACCGCCACTGTTGAGTCCCCAGTGTAAACTCTAGGATGCTGTGCAGTTCCTACCCACCCTGCCCTGTTCAAATGCAGCAGCTCACACCTTGATATCTGTGCTTGCCTAGCCCCGGGTTTGCAGCTTCACTGAAGTTGACGGACTGTGTCGTGTAGCTGCAGCAACAGCAGCGGTGGCTGTGTTCATTGAGGCCTTAGTATGTACCAAGTATTGTCCTACGTATATAGAATAAAATGTCATTTAGCTCTCCAACAACTCCAACTCCATAAGGCAGTTAGCGTTACTCCGCTTTTACTCACGAGGAAACTGAGTTGCCTGAGATCATGTAGCTAGGAAGAGGTACAGCCCAGATTCTAATTTAAGATGGACTCCAAAATCTGTGGCTTGAGCTGTCACGCTGTAAAAAAGTAAACTTTTCTGAGAATGTGTTTCTTTTCTTTCAGAGCGTGAGCTTGTGTCGTGAAAGATGCTAAGACTTAATAATAATCGATAAGGAGGGTCCAATAGTTTGCTTGCTCAGATGACTAATCTCATGAACAGAGAACCTAGCTGGGGAGGAGGTTGATACTTTTAATCATCTAATAAACAAAACTTGAAGCGTAACTTTCTCTCCCCCAAAATAATAAATAAATAAGTAAGATTTGAAAACTGCACAACACTTGTGTAGCACCTGTCCCCTTTGGTGGTTTTATTTACCCTTGGAAGTCTAGGCACTGTAATCTCCCCAGGGGAACTTCTGTTGGGAGTGGGGCAAAAGGACGGTGTGCTCAGGTATACAGTGTGGCCTGGCCGCAGTGCCTGTCTGTGACTTACTCTCCAACCTCTACCTGCTAACTGAAGTCATCTCACCTCTCTGCTCCATTTTTTTTTTAATCACCTGAAGAATTGAAGCGTGAACAAGGATTTGAAGAATTACAAGTCAGAAATCTGTGTAAATAAATGACTGCGATGGACTCTAAGGCAAAACCTTTAAAGCAATTCATTCTCTAATCCAGCTGCATGAGTCAGGGAGCTCAAAACCACCCATATCGGCCTTTGGAGTGGTGAAGAGAAGCACAGGGATGGAGCTTCGGGATGGAAATGTCTGCCCTGGAGTTGATCTATGTAGCGTAGCTACAATCAAGACCTGGTGGCGGTGATGAGCTCCTGGATGGGAAGTGAGGGGAAGGCAGGAAAGGCGAGGGAAGGCAGGCGTTGGAGATCTGCTCTTTAGTTGTCACAAGGCTCCCCTCTTCAGTCTACTCTGCCAGCAACCAATGAGACACCATTTGTTATTGGAATCGTATTATTAGTGCTCACTTTATAGGTGAGGGAGACGAGTCTCAGATTGCTTCAGACTTCGTTAAGACTGTACCACTAGTACATTGCCAGATGATATTCAAAGCCCTGCCTATTTGGTGCCAGTGTTATTTTACTATACTTCGCTATCTGTGACTCATTTAACTAGTTTCCTCTGCAGAGTCCTAGAAATTCTCCAATTCTCATATTAATAGTAATTCACTTGCTCATTCATTCCTTTATTTATGCATAGGTAGCTACTGAGCACATGGCAGGTTTAAAGCATTTTGAGACTAGAAGCATCTCAGATACTCTGATGTGTTCACTTCCAAATTCCACAGAACTTGGAAGCCTTTTTCTCCTAACAGAAATTAGAGGTTAGGTTTTCACTGAAGAGACACTGACTAGAAATTAGAGGGCGAATGGGAGTGTGGTTTTCTTGCCTGTGTCGAGGGAGCTTGAACAGAGAGGCACATTCCTAAGTACATGTCTTGGAGCTGCAAGAGTGAGTTTGCCTCGTGGGATGTCATTGTGCACGTAGGACAGGGGACACCTAGTGGGAAGCAATTCTCTCTGCATGTCTCAGGTTCTGGGGTGACCCTGTCACCCTGATCTACCTGAAGCTGGCTTGGTAGCCTCCAGCATTCAATTCAAAACCTTTTTTTTAATGTCTTCATAACCTTTTATTTTTTTCTGACTCTCATCATAATTCTATTTTTGTTTCTAACAGAAGTTTCTAAAGTAGAAAGGCCTGACTCTCCTGTTCAACTAAGGAACTATGTTCTTGTTGCTCGGAATTTCTAGACCCAACCATTGACTTCATATAGACTGCCAGTCCCTCAAACATACCCCTGATCATTCATTCACAGAAAATTTCCCTTTCTCTTTTGGTTACCAAGCCTCAGGTTGGATCATTGTACCCCCTTAAACTTCTCATCTGCCTTTTAGAGCTTTTTTTGTCTTTTTGATTACCCTTTAGAGCCTTTGAACTCAGTCTTCTGCTTTTGATCTGAAATCCCTGATTTCTCTCAGACTTCGTCTCTTCTTTGTCTCTGTCCCCTTTACTTGGTCACCAGCTGGAAGGGAAGTCACTTCTTCTTGAAGTCATACTTCTTTGTTTCATTGTTGTTATTTATCAAATATCCGTTGTGCACCCACGGGCTTTAGAAGCCAGAGTAGCAAGAAAAGGCACACAAATAAAATCAGGCAAAAATTATTATAGTAAACATCTACATGAGGATGCTAGCAATAGTGATGGTGCAGGGGAAGAAATGATGGACTGACTGGTCATAGCAGGCTTTATGAGAAGAAGCTTTTCAACTGGGTTGTGAAAGGTAAAAGGGTTTCCAAGCAGAAAAGTGAGGAGATGGCATTACAGAGACAGGGAACGTCATGTGCAGATCCTGGAGGTGTGCAACACTGTGTCCCACTTGAGGAAACTGATGCTATTTAATATTCTTGGAGCTTGGGCTCACAGGTGTTTCAAAGAGGTGGGCTGAAGGCATAAGAGGAACTAGATGATGGAGCACTTTGGACGCCTTGCCAAGGATTTGGGTTTTATCCTGAAAGGCATGTAGGGTGAGTGAAGGGCTTTAAGAAAGAGAGCCAGAGCAGTCAGATTTAGAAAGATTATCTGAACTACAGCAAGGAGAATGTCCTGGATGTTGATGGACTGAGTGTGAGGAGATCAGACAAAGGGATATTGCAATATTATAAGTAAGAAACAAAGAGGACCTAAACAAAAGCCATGGTAGTGGAGTTAAAGAGGGGAGAAGAAAATATTAAAGTGATCAATCTGGGGCCTGGGATTTAGCTCAGTGGTTCTGCCACCTACCTCACAAGTTCAAGGTCCTGAGTGCGATCCCTGGTACCAAGAGAGAGGAGAGAGAGAGAGAGAGAGATCCATTTGACTTTACTCAATAACTACTTAAATGGGGTGAGGAAAGGTGGGAGATGAGGTTCAGGATGCGCATACTGCTTGAACATGTTCCTTTTGTTTTGCAGCCGTGGTTGAAGGCCTGCAGGTCACAGTGCCTGACAAGAAGAAAGTGGCTATGCTCTTCCAGCCCACTGTACTTCGCTGCCACTTCTCCACGTCCTCGCATCAGCCTGCAGTTGTGCAGTGGAAGTTCAAGTCCTACTGCCAGGATCGCATGGGGGAGTCCCTGGGCATGTCCTCTACCCGGATCCAGTCTCTCAGCAAGAGAAACTTGGAGTGGGACCCGTACTTGGATTGTTTAGACAGCAGGAGGACCGTTCGGGTGGTGGCTTCGAAACAGGGCTCCACCGTTACCCTGGGAGATTTCTACAGGGGCAGAGAGATCACGATCGTTCATGGTACTAATGCCCTTGCTTTGAAACTAGGAAATGGGAGGGAAGTTAGTTCCATTCTTCCCATACCCAGGACAATATGAGTCTCACCCTTTCAGTCCCTTGAGAATCCAATTTTATTGGAGATGGGAGCATTAAGAGCCATAGCAAATTGATTTATTGGAGTGGTGGTGGGTAGGAAGAGTGGACAGTATAGTAGGTGGGGAACACAGAGATGAGCCTTGGAATAGTCTTTCCAGGCCCTGGCCTTGAATCTGGGAGCTTATTTTCAGAACTAAATGAAGTGAGTGATAATGAGAGAACTTCAGTCAAACATCCTACACCTCAGTGTCACTTTATGGTGCTTTCCCAAACCTGAAAGAGCAGAATTTGCTAAGAAATTCCTCCTTTGCGAGAAGGGATGCTTGCTTGGAAGTTACCAAGCCAGGAAGACTCATGGCCTGAGCCCTGAGGGCTTTGTATCAACTCTATCCTTTCTCCTGCTTCCTAAATTTTGCATAAGAAAAGGTCCCAAGAGTCTGAGAGGACCTAATTGATTATTCAAATTTTGAAGATTTCCTGTGAAGTCAGTTTATTCCCACGAGTCCATAATTAGTCTGCAAATTATCTGGCTCTCAGGGTTCTCTGCAGGGCTAGTTCAAAGCCATCATTTTTCCCCTCCCCCGAAGCTGGCTGAGATCAGTTTGTAGCTATGTTCCCATTTTCTCACTTCATGGATGCTACTTTTGTTATTATTTTGTTGGTTTGGTTTTACTGAAGAAGCAAACATCTTTCACCCACCTCCAAGTGAAGAAATTGAACACAGCAGACCCGACTAGGTCTCTCCCCGTCTCCCCTCAAACCCTTCATTGCCAATGCTTTTCTTTCCTAGGACAGAATTTTAGAACTGGGCTTTTTTGTGTGTGTGTGTGTGTGTGTGTGTGTGTGTGATAACAGATGCAGATCTTCAAATTGGAAAACTCATGTGGGGAGACAGTGGACTCTATTTCTGCATCATCACCACCCCTGATGACCTGGAAGGCAAAAACGAGGACTCGGTGGAACTGCTGGTGTTGGGTAAGTGAAAACCAGAGGCACCATTTCCATCTTAGATGGCTTGCATTGTGTCCTTCTCACAACTCCTTGCGGTGTGCACTGGCAGGCTGCATACACAGCTGTTATCTTCTGTGAACTGATAAAACTGTTAGAGAATATGCTTTTTCTGAGCAGTAGCTTATTTACAGTGTCTTGTTCTTAAAGGCAGCGTCCCTACCCTTTTAGCATTGTCCCAAAGTTTCTTCTGATTTCTTAGTTGTTTTCTCCTCCATTCTACTTTAACCTATAACCCCGATTTCTCTCTTATGGTTTACTTGTCTTTTTACATGCTAATTGTTAAAGAAAAACACGAGAGCTTTGAAATAGGATAGAGACTAAGGAAAAAGAACAATTCACTGGGATGTAAGCATCCCTAGAGACTTAAGATAGTCCTAAGATTGGGCTGGGGATTTATCTCAGTGGTTCCGCTCCCTGTCTCGCAAGCTTGATGACCCAAGTTTGATCCCCAATACCAGAACTAAAAAAAAAGATAGTCCTAAGGCAAGATGGCTGCACACTGGAGAGTTGGATCATAAAAGGTGCCCGGAGGAAAAGAGCTGTCTGGGAGATGTGCTTGTATTTTACTGGAGGGTGGATCTCCTGAAATCTAAAAGTGAGTCATTCTCAAAGCAAATACATCTAATTCTTATTAATGTTAATATGTTCATAGCTGAAAACTCCTTATTTTTGGCTATTTTTCATCTTTCGCGGATTGAAGGAATGTTAGTGGGAAACAATCCCTTTGTATGAAACTGAAAATGGGAAATGTGATGTATATTTTATATCTATAACTGTTCATTGAATAAGAAGATAATAATGCAGTTAGGTGTGATGGCACATGTCTTTAATCTTCACACTGAGGCTGGGGTAGGGGGATCGTGAGTTTGAGGTCTGGACTACATAGTGAGTGAGTCTGTGTCTTAAAATATATCTAAAAGAAACAACAACAAAGAAAATTAGAATAAAACATACAGAAATCAAGAAAAGAAATTGGATCGATTATAGGAGAAAAGGTAGTTTAGAATATATATTTGAAGTCATTCTTCAAAATAAATTACAGTCTCTGGCACTTCCAAAAAACCATCTGACAGCAATTTGGGGACTATGTAAAGGTCCCCTGTTTCGAAGGCAAATGCATTTGAAGGCTAATTTTTACCCTTTGTGGGAAACTCAATCCCCAGGGAGAAAGTGGCATTTTCTACTGAGAATTTTTAGTTTTAGTCTTTATCATAATTGCATGACTTTGGCAAAGCAACCGTTCTGATGCTTTAGCATTACATTTTACAAGTTGGACTAAGGTAAATTGGTCTATCTTATTGGAAGGTTGGCCTCAGGCAAGCATACTGTTTGGTTCCAGCATATAAAGTATAATTGCCGTGACTTGTAAAAGAATCAAAATATGACATATTCAAAAGGAAATAAAAGTGTAAGAGGTTTATATTGATGCTGTGAAAGAACACAGGGAGATCAGATTTGGAATCTGCTGTGGCTTTGTAAATCAGAAGGGAGTAAAAAAGATAAATTTCTGCTTAATCACACAGCTCTAATAGCAGAGTCTGCGGGAACAAGTGGCTCATTGAGCCTGCAATTAGCTAATTGTGAGCACAGTTATTTGGCCAGGGTTAGCCATGTGTGGGGAAGTAATTGTCTGTGTAGGAAAAGGAGGCCAGGTAAAAAACACATTAAATAATTTGGTCCTAGTTGTCTTGCAAATGTGGGGAAATGAAAAGAATAAAAGCTTTGCCAGGTGAAGTTCCTCTGGATCTAAAAATTCAATGCAGTTTGGATTGAGGATGCTATTTTGGGATCCAGGAGGGGTCGTTTTTTGGAGGGTGGGGTGTGAAAGGAAGGCTCAGGTGCCAGTGGTCACAGTGATGGGAGGAGAGATGAAGAACAGAAATCAGTGTTACTCTGAGGAGAACTGTGCACTGGGAAGCTTGGAAATCAAAACTCATCACAGCAGAAGCAGTGGTAGGGTTCTTGAGGGAGAAAAACATGACTCTGTGATGTTCCACATTAATTAGTAATGTTCAAAGTGTGACAAATTTGTCATGGAAACGTTTTAGGGCAGACTTGTGTTATTTAAAGGGCTTAGTTTGAAATCTATGAAAATTTTCTGGGTGTAAGAAGTATAAATACAAAATTCTGAGTCTTGTTTGTCTTGACATTCCTTTATAAAATGTTTCAAAATACTGTCACAGTTTTAAAAATTCAAACTGTTTGATTGTTATATCCTCCGGGCCAAGGATGTATTTTCTGTTAGGTATTCCCTTTTATGTGAAACTGGAGAGCAGCCTGATTTCTGAGGTCAAACCCACGTCGGTGGAGACAGGAGTGGGAAGACACTGGAGTCCACGGAGTGTCAGTTACAACATGCACGAGCCACTGGCTCAGTTACTGAGTTTTGCACAAGGCATGGTAGAGGATTTGTTCCAGGGAAAGAGGGCTTACAGTGAGGACCGTGGGAAGTGTCTCCAAATGCCTGAAGAGAAATTGTTTACAAGACGGGTTGGAAACACTGTCTGGCGAGGTGCAACTGAATCAGGAGTGGAAGTTCCAAGGGGAAGGAGTTTCCTCTCAGTGTATAGGAAGAACTGTGAACAACTGGAGATCTAGAGATGGAATGAGCGCTCTTAGAGGAGTAATGGGTCCTGTGTTCCTGAAGGAATTCAAGAGGGCAGAATATTTCTAAGCAGTTATTATATAATGAAGCTTTGCATAGGAAAAGGTACTCAACTACGTTACCTTTGAGCTCATTTCAATTCTAAATTCTTGGATTAAAAGCAGATAAACGGTAATAGTGATGAATAAGAAAACTACCCCCAAGGACCCAATCTTCATCATAGTGACAGGCAGGGGTATGGGTTGGTTAGAAGAACATAGTGGGTGATGCCCATGCACCAAGAAGCCAGAGAGAGTAAGCTGTGGTCTGGTGCAGTAGTCAGAGCTAACAGGACTAATCTCACAAAGAATGAAGGAGAGACTCTTACTAATAGCTTGAAGGAGTCAGCCACGTACTCTCTTCTTGGAAATGATCACAAAATGGGGCGCAGAAAACTGGTTTGAATTTCAGATGATGAACTATAAGGAAAGATGAGTCAAAGAGATAAATCAGAGGCAATTCTAAGAAGAATTTAGTTTCCTCGTTTTACTTAGAGAGGTGAAGGTGGAAAAGTTAATAGGGCAAGGTTATGAAGTGTTGTACACAGAAGACTGAGTTTGGACTTCCTCCTGAAAACTCTTGTAGAGCCAAGGAAGAAACCTTGACAGAAGAAGGAGATTAGATGTCCAGTTAGAAAGATACTCAGCTGTAGGGCCGGCTGTGTCTCAGGGAGGACAGCCAGAGGAATGTGTGCTGCAGTAGCACAGGTAAAAAGTACAAGAAGCTGAACCAGAGTAGGGAATCAGAGCAGACACCAGGTTTCTGAGCTAGAAGCAATGGGTGTTGGTGACTCATGTATGAAAAGAAAATGAGAAAGGGATGAATCAAACAGGATACCATGATTTCTAATTAGTTATGTAGCCATCAATTTCATCAACGAATAAAGAGGACAGAGGTAGAAAAGCAAGTTAGGGAGGCAAGAGAACGAGCTCAGGTTTTGTTGAATATAAGATGCCTGGGACACCAAGGTGAAGATGCTTTGCTGATGGTTGGAAGTGTAGGTCTGGAACTCAGTGCAAAAGTGAAGATTAGAGATAATGGATTGAGAATACTTACTTTGTGCCTTTGAAATGTAGTCAGTGTTGGGTATGTATTTTGTTGACTCTAAATGGTCAATACAATAAACATCTACAGTCTTGAGTGACAGAACGTCGTATAATCTCATTTTTTATAATCATCTGGCTATTTGAATTTAGTGATAGATCCATCATAGACTATGCTGGAAAGCAATAGAAGTAGGTTCTGGTTATTATTCAAGCAGGAAAGGAAGTTACTGAAAGGCTATCAAAACTGAAAAAAGACTGGAGAATCAGTCTCAGAAAAAGATCGAATGTTAGGAAAGCACTTGTTAGCTTCTACACAAACAACCCTCAAACATCAGTGACTTAATCTTCTCACGGTCAGATGTGGGTTAGGAGGCTCCTGTTGGTAGTTCCTTTCCAAGTGAGGGTGTAGAACTGCAGACATCTCTATTGTTTGGCTCTGCAGTACTGGAGACATCTGCTTCTAGCTGCTGAAAGAGAGACAAAGAGAGAAGAAGCTTATGTGGACATTTTAGTGGCCAGACCTGATATTGACAAGAGATGTTTCGAGGTCTAAGCAGCAAAAATTGATGGATAATATCTTTAGGGTTCCATTGCCAGACAAAAATATATTACTCAAATGTTACTTTCTGTTTTTGCATTTTCCTGCTAGAGAATCAGTCTTAAGAGAGACGGCCCAGTTAGTCTAGTTTGGTCAGTTGTCTGCTTAGCCTTGGGAGAGGAAGGGCTCCTGGTGAATGAATAGTCCAGCAAGAAGCAGAAACACATTGAGGCCATAATCTTAAGTGACATACATAAGATGCACATGTGTAAATACCAAATAGTTTCCTCTGGTTTTTGAGAAAGTAAAAATGTAAATAAGAGCCAAATTGTGTAACCAATAATGTGAAATAGGAAGAAAAGGGCTAAAGGTGTAGGAGAAGTGGAAAGGGTAGGGGAAAGGAAATAAGGGAAAAGAAAAAAATATGAGAAAAGGAAAAAATGGAAACAAAGTCTTTGTAAATAGGGGAAGGTGGAGTGGGTGAAGGGAGGGCAGGGGTGTAGGGAAAAAATGAGAACCAGGATCTGTCATGTAAAGGTACAAGATCCAAATGATAAATGTAACTGCACTGTATGCTTAAAAAGTACCAATAAACTCAATTTAAAAAGACAAAAAAAGCAGAAACGAATGAACCCTCCCTAAGGTACATTAGAACACTTACAAAAAAAAGAAAGAATAGATATAGGACACCAAAAAGCAGTAAATGTCCACCAAAGTGTTGGCATCACTAGGTCCACTAGTAATATTAATGTAAACTGATAAGTTGTAGTTCACAAAATTTGTCTGTAATGATCTTGTAAGGTAGGAGGGCAGGCATTATTTCCCTCACTTTCCAAACAAAGCATTAATGCTCCACTTTTATGATTATTGCATCAGTTTCTTTTTTAAAAAAAGACAGCGTTGATGATCAAACTCAAGCATTTTGAGTCCTAGACCTATTTCTTTCTACAGTATCACACAACCAATGGGTATCAGGAAGCTATAAAATAAGTTGTTTTCTACCAGTGTGGATGCTGTTTGGGCATGGGTCCTGATTTCTGCTTATCCCGTGTTTGTTTCAGTATTTCCTTTTATTTCTTAGTGAAATGGGCTACAACCATTGACCTAGGCCCTCACTTCAAAGGCACAGCTGTTCTGGTCTAGGTTGAAAACCACCCCACTGAGCATGACTCAGGCCTTCTTCTTACCCCCCCCCACCATACCTCTGAACCATCCGCAAACACTATGGTTGCTTTTTTCAGAGGTTTCAGAAATGTCCAAAGACATGCGATTCACAGAAATGGGAGCACAACCACTGATTCAACACAAAACATGAAAACGATGACCAAACACCCTTTAATGTCTTTTTGATGATTCAGAAGGTAAAGTCACTCAGAAATTGGAAATGTACACATGTGTTTTGGGTGCTTTGAGATGACAGTGACAGGTACCTTAGAAATATTTAGACAGATGTTTGGGATCATAGGGCTATACTAGCAGGCAGCCACAGATGGTGGGAGTGTCCAGAAATCTGCCACCCTGAGATTAGGCATCGGTCTAGGATCAGTGGCAAGGACAGACTGTTTCTAACTTGGAACCATGCCACTGTTTGGATAGGAATAAAGTCCCCTGGGGCAGATCCAGCTGGCAGGAAAAGGACTTCACCATTTCAGGAAAGCTCACGCAGGGAAGTTATTATTTTAAAATCTAAAAGCAGCTTGCCTTGTTCTTACTTCTTTCTATGCACAATATGAGGGCTTGACCCCTTGCTTCTGATGTCCCATGTGGAAGCTTGTTGTTGTTTAAGGGCCTTTAATTAGAAAAAGGGGAAGAGGGTCGCCATGGAAATGTGGCTGGGTGAACACTTCTGTCTCTGGCCTGAGAATAGAATACCAGGACATGAGCCAAAAGGGGTTTAGATTTAGGCTAAGGAAGACATTCCCAATAGTAAATAACAATTTTTGGAAATTATGGGTGGTTGAGGGAAATTAGAGAAATTCCCTTCTCTGATGGGCTTTAACATGAACCAGGTCTCTTGCCTGAGGTACGAGGATAAACTACATGGTTTTTCAGTGTCCTTTCAAAGATTCTGACTATTTCAAAGACCCATAGATTATAGTTAATTCTCTATAGAGAAGGATGCCTCATATAAGGTTGATTTGTCTCACCAAAAAAAAGATAATGCTTATTGTCAACATTTCAAAAACAAAAGGTACAAAAGCAGAAAGTATCTCCCAAAACCTCACAGTCTACAGCTAACTGTTGTATTTTTTAAAACTCTTTGGATTGCAAGGCACAAAGGCTCCAACTAGCTTAGGAGAACTTTTTGGTGTAGGTGTGGATACACCCAGGGGTATTCCTAGCTTCCAACATGGCTGAGTCCTGGTGTTCAGATTGTGTGTCAAGGAATCGCTCTCCTTACCCTGGGCTCCTGCTCCGTTCCTCCGCGATTGCTTCATTTTTAGGCAGACTCTTTCCACAGGGGGCAAAGATAGTGGCCCCAGCAGATCCAGGCATCTGAGCTCTCTCATCCCTTCCATCTCAGGAGGATAAAGTTCCTCTTTCTGCATAGTTTCTGCTGAAATCCTTTTGCTGGGGAGTCTGCGTGTTGGGGGAGGAATGTATATCCCCTCAGCCCCAACCGAACCACATGCGATGAGGTGACAGGGACGAGAAGTAGCTCCCTAGGGAAAAACCAGGCAGTTGATTCCAAAGGAAGAATGCCAGGCAGGCAAAAACACACACTGTTAACATTTTGTGGAATTCATCATAGTTTCTGCTTCTTTATGGGCCAAATGCAGTGCTAATTCAGGAGGCCAGAAATAGGTATGCTCTCAGCAGGTCCTTCTGAGGAGGCACTAATTTGGGATTGATTTTTCTCCACGAATGTACTGCTGCAGAGTTACCTTTGTTTTCCTGTCGTGCTCCTGTTTTTTCTTTCACCCCCCCCCTCCTGTGACTGTGCCTGAAATTTTTATGCGAGTGTAAAATGAGCTTTTCTGTCGATTGGTCTAAAAAGCCATTAAGCACCTAATAGAAAATGAGAGAATTCTTGGACGGTACAAGTCCCTAGAGGTAACTTAAACGCTATTTGGGGTGGGGGTGCTTCCTAAGGCTGCGCAGAAAAGCTCCCACCCCTGAGTTACGGCTGCCTCAATTTGCATGCGGTCCATCCCCCACCCAGGTGACTTTAGTTCGGGCTGCTCAGAAAGGCTACTTGTTGCCAAGGCTTCCCCTCCCCCTTCTCTCCCTCTTTGCCACCAGCCCCAGCTCCAGCCTGGTTCTGCTTAACCAAGGAGATTTGCCGATTAGAAGGGCCTCAGCTCCCAGGGTTCCCATGGCAACAGCCTCGGTGGAGGTCTTTGTTGCCTGCTGAAACTTTGATCTTCCAGAGTGCCTGCTGCTGTTTCTCAGTGAAGATTTACAAACAGAGGAAGAGGGAAAACGAATTGGGGGAGAAGGAGGGAAAAGTTTACTCCTGGCAGAAGGGAGAGAAAGAATTAATTACAGAGCCACACTCTAGCCATAAATCTGGTGATTACTCCTTTGGAACATCTTGTGATTTGGGCGGTGCCCACATTTCCATTTGTAGACTTGATTATGATTTGCACGTCCTGGCCCCACATGAAAGGTCCAAGGTGAAGTCAGTTGCCCTAGGACCGTATATAGTCCTCCTGCACACATTTATGCTACAAGTTTCCAGGGGAGCTGAGAAGACCCTGCAGGCTCCCGTGGAAGGAAAGGGAAATCAAATGCAGACTGGTCTTCTCCGGTGGGCCTCTCACCTCTCTTTCCTAGAGCTGGCCTGCTCTGCCCTGAGCTTGCTCAGAAGCCACTGTTGGTCTTGTTTCTGGAAAGAACCAGAGAAATGTGTTAAAAGGACAGGAAAGGAGGAGGAGTCAGAAAGGTGGCCTGGCATCAACTAGAATCTAATTCCTGTTAATAACTGTGAGTAGCAAGTGTTCTACTGAGGACCAGAGGGGCGGTCATGACGCCTCCAAAGAACTAAGACCATGCCTTGTGTGTGTGAGAAGCCTGCCCTAGCTTCCAGACCTCTGCACTGCATAAATTCAGGCTTGCTTTAATTTCTGTTTAAATTATGGTTGAAATTTAACAAGTACCTTTGGCATGCTTTGTCCCTAGCATAGTGAAGATACAAAGTAAATAAATGACACTGTCTTGTCCCTATAAAAATGACTGTCCTTTGGTGAAGATAAAAGTTACAATTTTGAGAAAAGTAGAAGTCAAAATTAAAACTGAGTTTGGATATTAAATATCCCCAAGGCCACTGATTCTCAAGAGGGGGGAATCTTGCCCACAGAGGAGACAGCTGGAGATGTTTGGAGACGCTGTCTGATTGTCGAAACACGGAGAGCAAGGGCATGTAGTCAGTGGGTAGAGACCAGGGAGGCTGCTGAACCTCCTACAGGACAGCCCTCTCACACCCAGCTGAGAAGCATCTGGGCTTCAAATGCCAATAGTGCCAGGTTAGAAACAGCAAAGGTTTGGGGAGTCTCTGTGAACAGCAGGGCTGCTGGGGTCAGGCAACTTTCAACTCTGTGTGATAATGTGGTCAGTGTCCGTGTTTCCTTAGCTATAAAAATAGAAGGGTCATACAAGTTACATGGAAGACCTTCTATGAAGATTAAATGGCACATAATAAGAACTGGGTAAATGTTAATTCCCTCTCCCACCCCTGCCCATTCCCCACCGCATCACGAGTATTCCTCCCTAACTGGAGGAAACACTGCTTAGGGAAATCTACATCAAGGGACTCCCGCTCCACAGCAGATTTTCCTTTGGCACGTTCCATAGGCAGAGACTTTAACGGGCCATCTGTGAATCGGCCATCCTGTTACTAATAGACTCACATTTTCTCAGTGACATCTGTGTGGCCTTGCCAGTGGTGACCCTAATCGGGTCATGGAAGTCTTCCTGCCCTTGGATTTGAGAGTATTCTGTCTTCGCAGGTCCCCATTTTCTCGGTGGATGGCCCTTCGTTGTTAATTACAGGCTGTTTGCTGCTTAACCTAAATACCTGGATTGGGCTATACAGGCCTTCTGGAGGAGTTCAGAGAAGACCTAAGATTTGGATTAGGATCTCTTTGGGCCTAAAAAGACTTTAGATAGTAGGGTGGCTTTATAATTTAGGGTTACTTAAGAGTGAACCGGGAGGGAGCTTTTAAAATAACTATGGCCCATCCACAGGCATAAACTGGCACCGTCCAGGAAAGCTGGTATGATGGTCACACATCTTTAGACGTGGACCACTTTGAAGGGACTTCTATTGATCCAAGAGAACTTGAGATCGAACTCGTGTCAGCTGCCCTTCGCCCGCAGACCCCTTGCACTGCACCCACAAAGACCTGAGGGTGTGTCCAGGGGTCTCCATTCCTTCCCTTGAAACAAGCGGGGGACCCAGCGAGGAGGGGTTTGGCATAATGGGAGTCCACAGAGTGGCTGGCCCTCAGATTTCTGAACAAGTCAGGTCTCCGGGCGCCGGTCCCCTGCCCCTAGCCTCCCTCTCGCCTCACTAGTTTTGCTTCACTTGTTGCGCATCCCGCGGGAGGAGCAGGGCCTTGCATGAAGCGCATTCCTGCCGCCGCGTTGCCGTGGTTACCCGGGCCCGGCCGGCGCAGCTGGCTCAGCCCAGCTCATTGTG